GATAATTTATTTGGCACGCTTGGCGTAATTTTTACGTTCCCTAGTCGCCAACCCTGTTATCGTTTGACACAACCCTGTTATCGCTCTGAGGAGGCGCTGTCAACATCGCTTCTGTCAACTCTCTCCGTGCTTAACTTCACTTGGCTTTGACGGTCCGACTGTCACCGTCAAAAAATCCTTGCTTCGAGAAACTGCAATTATAAAAATCTTGCTGTATAATTTGAATCAGCTACTATTTCGAAGTTACAGGGTAGAGTTTTGGATGTCCCAACCTAACTTGTATTTGTATTTTGCTGGCACGTTAGCGTCCCTTTTCTTTTGTCCTCCAAAATGTCACATGGAAGAAAGGACATGTTCTTTATTATTTAGTGAGCCCTCGGAAGTAATTCGAGGGTCTTATGGACGGACTGTGTTCAAGGTTATGGTCCAAGTTACGGACATTATCCAAGGTCCTAGTAGTGTTCCAAGGTACGGGTAGTGTCCCCATATTGTCACAGTATGGATACAGCGTAAGCCCCATGCTGCTCCCATTTCTAAGCCTAGTCAGTAGCTACGGCTGTATTGATTCATGGTGTCCTCATTCTAGCCCCTTTAGTTGTTTGGGCCAACAGGATCGCCGACAGACAGTACAGAGATATGAGCCTACCTCACGCTGCTACTCTTTGAAACAGGATTGCCTCAAGAACAGCTAAGTGTAGATTTAGGTTCTGGTTTTCAGTCGATTTTCAGTCTTATCTTAACGTACATTTTAAATAATATCGTACAGACTATATTTAGTGGTTAGATTATTAAGAACATTTATGTCGATTTAGTTGTTACAATATGATTTAATTTTAGGTTTCATTACATTACGCCTTGTAATAGTAATACTTTTTTATAGATATTATTATTGCACTAACATCATATAAAATATATCAAATTAATTAAAGTAATGCTACATTTCATATATTTTCTTAAACTTTACATGTCTTGTATTTTATCATAGTTGTTTTCATAGATATTTAGTACAATTCTTAACACCACTTTCGTTGACATATAACCACTATAATAATTATTAAAATTGTACAATGCTATTTACCATCACAGTCCATCTTGAATAAATATAGTCATTAGTTTTGGCAATATACAACTGTGTTTTCTTTTCTCTGTACATGCCTGGTGCCCAATATCTTTGCATTTGAGTGTTTATTGTTAATTAGTTCTTTCCAGTGAAATATCACCTTATCCACGACTGCTCTCCGATGAAAAGCTGCTGCTCGCAGTGGTAATGTTTATAAAAAACGCTACAGTGCCCATCGCATCCAAGAACCTATTAAAAACATTTTCTTTGAGGGAGCTAGTTAAATTTTATTATTTCAATTAATAACAAGCCCTATAATATAGGATACAACATTTTAATGAACAGTTTTTTCCATAAAACAAACTTCTTCCATAAAAATCAATAAAATGAAAAAATACGAAATAATATGCATGTACGATTTCTTTCGAAAAATCGACAACTATGAAACTATGAACTTTCCTGGACACAAACGGTACATTGTGAGACAGAAAATTGTAGAGAAACAAGCCCTGAACATAGATACAACATTTTAATGAACAGTGCTTTCCATAAAATCAATAAATGAAAATATACGAAATAATATGCATGTGCTGATTTTCGAAAATCGACAACTATGAAACTATAAACTCTTCCTGGACACAAACGGTACATTGTAGAGACAGAAAATTGTAGAGAAACAAGCCCTATAACATGGATACAAATATTTAATGAAAGTGCTTTCCATAAAATCGAAAATCGTTTTCCAAAAATACGTTTAAAGAAAATAATTTTGGGTAATGAATTTGCACTTTTTTCCAGTTATTTACAGATTATTTGTAAATGATGAACAAATACGGCGTCAAAGAGTTTTAAGTTCAATATGAAAAAACTAAACCAAATTGAGTTTGTACCAACGGATCAATAATTTTACTTCCTTGGGTAGTATAATCTTAACCAACAGAAGTACAGAGCAAGATATCATAACCAGAATAAACAAGACCAGAATAGCATTTGGAATGCTCAACAAAATTTGGAGATCTAGACGGTACTCTCAACTTACCAAACTTAAAATTTTTAACTCAAATGTCAAGTGAATATTGTATGGTGCAGAGACCTTGAAAATTACACCGCCGTTAATTACTTTAAACTCCAATTCATAAAGAGTCGTCTGCGAAACAATAGTAGAAATATACTGACAAAACACTATCAGAAATGACGATTTATGGAGTTTAACCAACCAGAGGCAGGTGTATAATGAAATCAAACTGAAGAAATGGAGGTCAGTGGTCACACATTATAAAAAAAAAGTGGCAACAACATCGTTGACAGAACTATTGGGTATTGTGGGCAGTAGAAGAACTGGCCACCCAAGACATTACACCTGGCAAAGAACTATCAAAAACCAGAGATTGTAGCAGTCAACCGACTATGGCGAGATGTCAAATCAATTGCAAATAACCGAACCTCGCTGGAGCATTTATTGAAGCCCTATAATCTAATGTATGAGTAAAGGACAAACTGAAAAAATACTAAAAACTAAACTGATCTTGAATAGTGGAATTTACGTTATTTAAAATTGTTTTCCTTGTGTTTATTTTTGCCTTGTGACAACGGGAGGAGATATACCTCCTGAAATATGTTTACAAAAAATCATTTTTTTATTTTGTAGATTTCTCTTCCCGTGGAAAAACCCCGAAAGTTTTTCAAGAAATTTCTGTTCTAATAGACTTTAAAATATTTAAATAAACGCATCCGTTAACGAGATAACTTTCAGAACAAAAAGAAGTATACATCGGAAACCTTTTTGGAAAATTAAATGCTTTTCCGGGACTCGGGTTTCATAAAGCCACTTTAATATGTTGCGTAGAGTAAGTTGATTTATCAAGGGGGCACACAGCCCAGAGAGTCCGAGTCGGGAGTTCAAAGTGAAAATATGCTGGCGTTTTCCTTTTTTATACTGGATTTTCTCTATTTTTCCTTTTTTCTTTCTGGTCGAAAAAGAAACACTGGCGTGTTGTAGGACTTAAGTTTGTTTAGGGATAAGGCGGGTAAAAGCTGAGTCGTCTTCTAAAGGAATTTCATCACATTAAATAAGTTGGCGTAGTCCTATTCGATAAAGATTTTTTCCCTTTTTGTAGCCAAACATATAATTTGAAAGTTTGATGTTTGTACAACAATATTATTGCTTTTTTTTATTATAGAAGATGGTCCGAATTGTATAATGGAAAACTTACATATTGTGCAGATAAAAATAAGTAGAAAAGTTGTTATAAATTTATGTCCTCAACTGCTTCATTTTGGAGATACAAGGTGTAGAAATTTAATTTTTACATCAATTTTTTTTAAAAAGTATCTGAACTATAGTTGATATTTGGATCGGTAGATGAATATTGATATTCGGTGTTTGGGTGTTTTTTTACATGAAATATTTCCATGTAAGTATTACACCTACATGTTTCTAACAACTGTTTTGAAGAGTAATAACTTTTCGTTCGTTCATGTATTACACTACCGTGTAAAATAGTGTACAGAGTGAGTCAAATTGGATGCTTTTAAAGGGAAACACCCTTTTCTATAGGAGATAGACGAAAACTAATATCGGTATCTGGAGCTCAATTTTTATCAAAAATATAATGTTGAAAACTGCACATCTATATCTGATACCGTTTCGAAGTTACGGGGTGTTTTTGAAAAATGTGCATTTTAAACAAATCAATGTAACTTTCTTGCTATGGAAAAGTTTGTATTTTTATGAAAACATTTCCAAAACACTTTTTTTACGTAGAATTTAATAGTTTAAGTATAATTTGTTTAAAATTAACAATTTAAAACTTATCAACAGAGAAATTGATTTTTTTATATGGGACACCGTGTATATTTTTAATTAACTGAAGAGAACTTAAAATTACCTTTCCAAAAATATAGCAGGCTTGATATTTTGTTATAATCCTCTTCGAAATACAAAATTTTTCAAATTTCGCCACTTTTAACTAGTAGGCTTTGGACCCCTTATCGATGATCTGCCCCTAATGAAACTCGAAAACATATTTTTCTAGTAAGACGAGACACCGCCTCAGAACGCTGAACTTATCAGCAAATTTTTGCAGCTAATTTCTAGAATAATTGAATAGCTAACGAAGATCCCAGCCGTTGGCCGTCGAGACCGCTGAGGCCTCCGGATTTAGCGCCTATGAATTTTTATCTTTGTGGAAAAATGAAGGTTCTTATTTTTAAATTACCCATATAATCTAAACAAAAATTAGAAGTACTTAACGGTTATACGAGGGTATCTTTCACCTCCACTGAGTAATTAATTCCGCAAGAGATGTTCAAAAACGGTCCCGTCTGTCCATAACAGAAGACTAAATGTCGAACACCTGTAGCAAAATCTCATGTCTTGGTTTTCTTTTTTTTATGAATTTTATAACTTGTCATGGTTTTGTAGGAAATTCACTGCTCTACAAAAGTGGTTTCTAATGAGTTCTAATGAATTGGAATAATACAATCCAATTATATCTCAATTGATAATTAAATAAAAAAAAACTTTTTGATAAAAATCTGATTTTAGTTGATTTGAACTTTAAACTAATTTTTTAGTTGAATGGTAAGTTTGGTTTGGTTAAGTTTTCTTCTAGATCAATACTTTTTATATTAAATTTGTCACAAAAGCCTTATTTACTCAAAATTTAATGAATCATTGACTCTAAGTTAGAAAAAATGCAATTATTTTTGCAACATGCTTAGGCCTAAAATAATTGTTTAAAAAAAATCTAAATAAAAATTAAATTTCTACACCCTCTATCTCCGAAACGAAGCAAAAAAAATCACCTTAGACATAGTAAAATAAAATAAATTTATATATAATATTTTAGTTTATTATGGTCTTAGCTCATAACATAAAAAATTACTTTTGCTAACCATTTTTAAAAGTGTAGATAACGTATCTAATATAAATCCTTACCTGTGGATAATCTCCTTCCTTTGTCTGATAATCAAACACATAAAAGAACGTCTTAGGTCCGGTAGCTTCCTGTCCAGTCTGCGGCGGCTTCGCGCTCAACAAATCCCCCGTCTGCACCAACGGCGCAACGAACTGCGCATCACTCAGCGCAGCCACGCAAGCGTCACGCGTATTTATCGGGTGCTGCACCGTCCTCTCCCAGTCCGTGTACTCGTTCACAATAGTAAAAAATATCTCACTCAGGTGATACGTATAGGCGTTACGCACGTAGGTCCGTATGATCTTGTCGCGACGTTCACCCTCGAAGCCTGCTTGGATGTCATTCGAAGAGAAGCGCCACAAGGCTTCGCCGGTCACCACGCCAAAGAGGAGGTCGTAAGGGTTGCTGCCTTTGGGTACCAAGGTGGCCTCGCTGCGTTTGAGGTTGGCGTTGACGGGGCCTACGAAGCTTTGGAGGTCTTGGGGTTTGAAGTAGGTGACGAGTTCTTTGGCAAAATCGGCTTTGATTACCACACCTTCAAAAGAAAAATAGGTACTTGAAAAATTAGTAATATAAATTTTCGTCATGATATATTAGACGCTGCTGAATATCATGAATTCATCATATTAATAAATAAATGCCTTTATTGTCAAAAAATTTTTCAATTTGTAGACAAAGGTAGGGGTTGTCAATCACTGCGACCTTACAGATCTACGGTGTCCCCTTTTTGAGTTATACCTCGTTAAACAGTCTGAGGGCTCTGACAAAAGTCAGTATCTGAGACGGTTTTAGAGGGGTTAGTTCTTCATCTCCGATACGTCATACCCAAAGTTTATGGCACGAAAAATAATAAGAATACAGAAAAAAAAAATATTATGTTTTTAACCGAAAATTTAAAGAAAATGAAACATTTTCTAAAAAAAAAAAATATAAACTTTCAAATAATCCTTTTACGAAAAAAAATCACGTATTTGTGAAATCGAAATATACCTACCATATATGTGGTATCATTTAAGATCTGCCGTATACTATAGAAAAACAGAACTATTTAATTCATAATTTCTAACTTGAATACCATTGCTTCCATCTAGCACCTCGTAAATTAGTGGCTCTAATTACACTATACCTCTAGTTTAATACAATTTTAAATTAATAGAATATTCTAGCAACAGCTTCCAGTAAGAATAGTTGTATACATAGGGAAAGACTAAAATTTAGCTTATAAAACAATCAATTTTGATTCTAACCACAATTTTGGTTTACGGAAGACAACTCAAAGGCCAAAATGACATTTACCGCCAATTTTAAAGTATAATTAGTGGAAAGTTAAAATATTAAAAGTTTGATAACTCTTTTCTACCAATTTAAAATACCTACCACTAATTTTGACGTTCCTGAATGCCTTATAATCAAATTAAAGAAACACACTCCTACGCTAATTGAGCTTTAAGAATATAAATTCGTTTTTTAAATTATCCCTATATATTTATTATTTAATTTTAAATAAAATGTGATGGTTTAAAACTAGCTTTGCAAAACATATATCCTTCATTGTTTTGTTTATAATTTTAAGTGTCGATAAAATCCCAGTAGTAGTACATTCTCGCTTATTCTTACCATCAACGCTTGGCCCGAATGCACTTAAATAAGCCGGAGGTGTCACTTCGGCCTCTAGAAGCTCCCCCAAGGGAGTCTCTCGCAGACAGTCCACAATCTGCTCGTGATCTTTACCGACGTCATCAGGTATAGTGCAGTTCACTTCTTTGGCCAACTTTACAGCGTAGTTCACGGGATCTTCCACCTAGAATTTGGCATATATATTTCTTTAATGAAAAAAAAAAAAAAAGGGATGAAAATAAAGAAAAGTAAACTCATAGATTAATATATTAAGTGGAGTAAAAATCAAACACTCTGAAAAAGATTTTATTATTATTCCCCTTACATTAAGTAATTAATTCCACGCTTTAGAGTACTCCAGTAATTCTCACTTAAAATACAAATGGATCCTGACAACAAAGGTGCGGACTGAATAATACGCATCGCCCCAGGTTCAAATTATATTTCTGCACTTGTAACCAAACAAAATTATTTTGAACAGCGGGAAGGTACGGAAATGGTAGTCCACTGTCTCCATTTTTGGCTATTTAGTCATGAGCTAGTTTGAAGTAGAGGAGGCTAAAAAAATCAGTTTGGCGATTTTCGGCTGTAATGGTTTTGGTATGTGGATGATATATTTTGCCGTTTTTGACACACATTATAACACTATAGATAACCTTTACTCTAAAATTAAATATACACGTAACTGAACGAAGTATACCAA